GCTTCCTGTGGTCGGCACAGCCAATTTGACCTGCCCTCTTCTTGTTAGCCTGCCACCTGTTGTCGTTCCTAACCAAGAACAAAACCCGAGAACTGACCGCTCGTGGTCGCTTTGCTTGCACTTCCTACTCTGTCTCGTCTGTGTTCCCTGGTTTCCGACGTCTGCAGTGCGTGCAACCTTGGCATTGGTCCTCCACTTCCCGGTCGATGCTGTCGTCCTTGATTGAGTCTCGGTTTTTGGCGTGCTCCTTGTCCTCCCTTTCATGTGCCTCACCGCTGTGCTTTGTCGGCTCCCCTCGTCTCGGCTCCTCCCCATTCCCAGAGTCCCCTGCTCAGATAGTGACATAATGCCCTTGTAAGAAACAACATAAGATACGTACTGTTATTGTCTGGATAGAAGGGGGTTGTTCGACAGTCCCTATGATTGCTCCTATTGGCGGCTCTACTGAGCATGCGCAATTTGTGGTGCATACAGCCCGCCCGTTGTTCCTCACGACTTGGTACCCTATCGCGCGCTATCGCCAATTGGGCATATGGCGGGAAGCCCTGCGTTGCTTCGTGCCATTCTGCAACGCAGCTAACTTGTGTTTGCTGTTGATGCAAAGGAGTTGTGTCAGGGGGTTTATCTGGCGCAACTGTTTCTTTGCTTGGCGTGTCGATGACTTGCCGGACGCACCGCCAGTCGATGCATGTGCGGAAAATGTGACAGACGACAGACTTGTCGCTGGTTGTTCTTCTCTTCTCTTTGCTTGTTGTGCGGTGAGCGCAGGGTTGCAGTCGTGTCGCGATTGAACGAATCTTGCTTCTAGCTCTTATAGTTTGGGCTTCTCGACCTCTCTTGCCGGTTCTATCCCCCCCCCCCCCCCCCCCCTTATCAGAAATCTTGTGAGTCGCAGTTTCCTATTTGCGCGGTCCTCATGGTTGTGTCTGTTCGCACTTTCTGTGGCCCTCTTGTCGATTCATTTTCATTCCTACAATTGCCCCTCGTTCCTTCCCTTCTCCGCTGATGTATTTCGCACTCGTGAACTCTTGGATATTTTCTCTTCTCGTCAGTGCCTTCCCCCTTCCATTTTCTTCTCTTTCAATTTTCGCCAATCTTTTCGCACTCGTCCCACCTGATCAAATAATCATACACCCCCTTCCCCCCGTCGCTCCTTCTCGCCCTGCCTCTTGGTACATTTGCTCTTGCATCCCCATCTTAATAGTCACCACCATTGCGCCTTCCTCAGCGAGCGGCCTTTCTCTCCTCCACCCCCGCCCGAACCGGTGAGCTTTGTTGACGGCAAAAGAGGGACCACCGCCACATCCAACGCGACGGACATCCTCGCACTCACTCTCTCACCTCCCCTTTTGTACATACACGATCTTCGCCGTCTGCACCTTTCTTCACCGAGATCTGTACTCCGTGCAGCTATTGTTCGCATTCATTCTGCTCGCCTTGCTGCCGCTGCCGCTGCCACACCTACCACACCCCCGTCCACTGCTCCCACACACCCCTTTTTTGCTGGGACTCTCTCATCGGTCAGAAGCAAAGAACAGCCATCAACCTCTTGTCGCCGGACCGCTCAGCAAGCAGCCTCGATGATTTTTTGCCGTTTATGTTGGTCGGTTGTTTTCGCATTCTGATTGCCGCTTTTCGCCTTTCGATCCCAGGTGCGCAGCAAAATATACGCAGTGGTCCGCCTCTGGGTCCGCCAGCGTGTATCGTCGACAGCGCAGTGCCTTCGCCGCTGCTCTTCGGCCTCCGCCGATGACTGGGTGTCTCGCGCGCTATCGCCTCCACGAATTGTTGCGCGCATCTCGTGACCAGTACAGCGACACGCCTACCGGTCTGGCCGTGCAGTCGAGGTCTCTCTCACCGGGAGCTGTGCAGTGGGTCGCGAAGCACAACGACGTTGCGTCGTGGAAGCAAGCCGGCCAACGACCCTGCTGCCGCTCCTTGCCTTCCTTACTCGCGACTTCGGCGGCACGAGACCGGAACGAATAACGCTCATTCAACAACTACAGAGATCTTGGCGCCAGAGACGCCATCCATCGCCTTGGAAGGCATTGATACCGCTTCATTTACGTTCAAGCGGCTCTGTAACAGCCGTGCGAATCTACTCGAGATACGTATCGACTAGGTTCGACTTTTCACATAATCAAGACCGCATTGTGCCAATTTTCTTTTCCTTTTTTCCCCGGCCTCCCGGCCGCAGTCTCTGCACCAGGTTTCTTGACCGTCATCCAAATTTATCCAGTGACCCGGGCTCTAGTCCCCGGGACCTCAGACTTGTGGGATTGCCACCCTCTCCTGCCTCAGAACAAGCCCCCTTTTGATATTGCATACAGATTCCACCCATCCATTGTCCCCCACTTACTCCCCCATTTGACTTACACACACCTCTTCCTTCTCTGCACTCATCCAAGGGGCTGCCCTCATTTCCAGCAACGTCCAGTTGGGCATTCCGACCGGGGCGGAACGTGAGACGGCTCGAGCTCTAGTCTGCCCTCGACAAGGGTATCACGAGGCCCAAAGTCGACGTTGCAGCCACGGCGGACAGGTCTGAGTTGATCGCTTTGCGCCTTTGCTTTCTTCGTTTCTGTCCTCTTGTTTTCTTGACTTTGTCTCCCTCTTAGTTCATCTCACATCCGTTTTGCAACATATTCATTTGTCCCTTGTATTTCAACGTCTCTATCAATATTCCGTTCTCGTCGGCTTACAACCCTCCTCCTTACGTTACGATCTCCCCGTAGGTCTTGATGACCGTTGGGTCCAGTCTGAAGAACTCCGGGTCGGGTTTGCCAAAACCGCTCTGGTTTCCAGCTCATTCTCCACGTCATTGCGTTCATTGATACCCCCTCCCCTTGTATTGCCGTCCTGCTGTGCTACACGCCAGGCAACACTGGTTGTGCATTCTCCTACACCCTTTTGTTTGCTCTCTGCCTCGTCTTGGCTCTTTCTATTTTCTCTGCTTCTCGTTGAGGTTGAACTTAGCTCTCGTGCTGAGGTTCTCCACCGCTTGTCATTCCACGAAGTATATCAATCGACACCCAATTCCTGCACACCCTTCCGGAGTCCAATGCCACTATGGTAAGTGAATCATGCTCACACTCTTTCTGCATCTGTCTCCTGTTCAAGTCCTTTATAGATACACCTCCCTATAAGATATAAGTCATCACTGTTCCCATCACACTGGCACTCGACCGATCTTACCTTTTAAGACACCCTCATCAAAGCTCAACAACACCATATTCAGGCGTAGCCTCTCATTCCCAACCTGCTACGCACATCCTCCCAATATATTATACCTCCTTCCCCCCTCTTCAAAACATATTTTGCATACTACCCACCCATCCTTCTTTAAGCACACACCGTCCTTTCACTAGCTCTTCCTTTCTGGGTGCAACCTTCACTCCATATACTTCTACTACCCTCTCCACCCTCGAGCTCACCGATCGATCTCAACGAAAGCCAGCCAATATTGACAATCACAGGACGGCATATCGACCCTCAAGAGGCGACGGCCTCACTCTTTTAGCGACGATTCTTACAGCTCTTTAAGCCACTCGGAACTTACATATCCTGCCTCAGTTACACTGTTGACGGAACAACAACGGCTCATCATCAACCAGGCGGCCTCTATTATTGGGGTCCCTCCGCAAGAGCTGCTATGCTTTAGCCCTATACAGTACAACTCATACATTCTCGAGCGGGCAGGGCGCATTCTTGGCACATCCCCTCAAACACTAATAGAGACCACCTACACTTCACGATCTCATCAGAAACGGGCACGCCACAGCGCTGACATATCTTTTCTAAATATGTCTCCCAAATACCGATTTTCTCATCCTGGCCGTGGCCTGGAGAAAGCTCCTCTTTGTCAGAACCTGATAGCCCAGGGACAAGCTGAGTCAGAACGGCGGCCATTCTTTTCTCTCCCCTTGACAGATGGAGGTTCCTTTCTTGGATCAACAGCGTCCGGCGTCGCGGATTGCCTAGTTAGTCTCTCGTCGTGCCAGCCATCAGCAAGTCAGGAAACTCCTATAGGTGCGTTTTTCAGTTTTGTCATCTTTGCAGCACTTGCTATTATTATATGCGTGTGTTTCTAAAATAATTGCCTAGAATACGACGCCGTTATGACCACGGTCTCAACTACACCATCAGTCCTCCCTGAATCCAGACAATACGTTGAAAACGGATTGTATGCAGGAGTCAGCAGGGCAACCGAACTGGCCCAAGCCAACTTAGCTTTCAACGAGGGTTTCCATTCACAGCCTGCAAATTGGCTGTCGGACGACAACACGCAATCGTCACAATTCATGCAAAGCTACCCGGCCATGCAGCCAACACTCACGACCTCAGCAGGTCCTGTGGAAGACCCACGGCTTGCGAAGACACAGCCGAATACTCATTTTGAGACCATGTATTACCCGAACGAACAAATACCGCCAAATAGCTACTCAAAACCGGAAGCCAGCGACGTGGCACAATTGAGTTCCATCCCGCCGACTACACTCTCTGTTTCAATGGCCCCAGCTCCAGCGGCTCAGATTCAAGACTTTCTTGGGGAAGTGCCTGCTGGCAATCGCTTCTCTCCGAGACCACTCACAGTCACAGCGGAGACACAGTATACGATGCCATCGCCTATTTTGGTACCTGCAGCAGTACCGTTTGATGTGTCCAACATCGCCCCTGCACAACAAGCACCTCTGGCAGTACCCCTTCCTTCGACCTCGACAACAATTGGTATGCCGCAATCAGTTGCAGTTGTGCCGTATCCGATTAATGCGGCTCCGCACTACACAGCTCCCATGCTGAATACTGTCATTAAGCACCACAGTCACCGCCGTGACAGCAGCCATGTTGCAACGACACCCTGTGTGACTGAATCTACCTTTGATATCCCGATCCAACGACATCCAAGACCACCAGCTGCTAGACGCGGGCCATTCAAGGACCAGACTGACCGCCAGAAAACTGCACAGACGAGGAAGGATGGATGTTGCATACGGTGCCGTATGCAGCGTATTAGGGTAAGTATTAGCCTTTTTCTAATTTTTGTTTTCCCCATCAGAGTTTGCAAACTAACAATTTCGTGAAGTGCAATGCTGAAGAGGGTAATCCAAAGGGAGTGTGTCTTGGCTGCAAGAACTCGCTGGGCCGTACGTGGCGGTTGCCTTGTCTACGATTGAAGGTCACTGATGTGATCCTTGCCAAAACGACACAGGTAAAAGGCCACGAGTGGACACTTCGCTGGAAAGAGAATACGGTTCTTGATGATGTTGGCCACTGGGCCTCGTCCGAGGTGAGGATTCTTCGCATCTCAGAAGGCTACACGAATGAGTTTGTCGAACTTCGGGTTCGCAAATTTGTTCCGCAAGACGGCGACAGTCTCGAGCGTTCCTGGGTGACACCCACAGGGGAGACGCGGTCGGTACAGATTCCACCATATGCTGTCATCGAACCCGAGGCTATTGCACCGCAGTACAGCTCCTACATCAAGAGAGGCTTGGTTGCATGTTGCAGCAAAGTCCTAGCGGACCATAAGGACTCGGTGCTTTGGCCGACCTACTGGATCGCGGTCAAGCTGACTCATGCAAAGAATCACTTGTCGGAAGACGAGAACAAGCTTCTCGCCAAGACGCTGGAGTTGTGGATGACAGTGCGCTTAACAACACGTTCCTTCGAGATTGTCGGCGAAGAAACTCTTGGTATGCCAATGAACATACTCGACGAGACGAGTCCGTCTCATGGAAAGATCCCGATTCCGCCCGTCATGGGAGCGCAGCTCGACTCCGTTCTTATCCACGAAATTCAACACAGCTTGAGACACGACGTCCTCGGTGCTCTTCAAGATATGTTCCACAACAACAAGATCAATACTTGGTTTACAACATACCTGGTTACGTTCATGCTGTTGCACAACGCTTCCCTTGTTATTAAGCACGATGCGAGCTATGCGAGGAAGCACGGGCTGAAGGTTTGTTCCCACCACGCAACTGATAGGAGCAGACAAGGGGCATAGTACAGGGAACTAACTACGGACCGAATCGAAACAGAGGCGCTTCGCACGCGAGGACAAGGTTAAGCAGTACTACACGGGTAAGGACTATCAGCATCACCATCTCAATTACTTTCTTCATAACGAAAGAGAACTAATCGATATAGGAGCCATCACGCTTCTTGCATACTTCCACTATTGCAACAAAGGTGCCTTTCCGTTCACCGAGACTGCTCGTGAACAAGACATACGCAATCTTGCCAACCTCGACCAAAGTGCCATGGGGATAGTACGGCATACCCGGATGTATGCCATCGAGCAGAGTGGGTGATATTACTAATCTATGCTGCAACTATGTCACGGTACTTCTTGGAGAAGCAATGCTAACAGGTATGACAGAAGCGAAGTGGCAGGCGGTCCTGGATACAAACGACTACGAAAACGAATTCTACTTTATCAGCCAACTCTACGAAGTCAACTGGCAGCCCAGGACAATGGTCATATAGGGAGGGAGACGGCCGGCCCGAAAACACGCTGAGTCCGCTTTCCCGCCTACTACACTTCGTTCGGTCTCGATTTCTTTCTCGGGGAATTCGTCAGCATCTTATCCCCTCTTCCCCACCAAATTACGAGGCACGCTCTATGAGAAGAAAGAAGAGTCACAGGTTCAAATGAGACTATTTAGCTCGTTGTAACAGACTGGTACAACACATGTATGCATGCTTCCAGAAAGAGATGTATGGTGCATGCCCAGGTCTATTTTGCCTCTCTCCCTACGGGCGTATTACAACATACAATTTTAAAGGTCAGGGCTGGCAGCAGGAGGGGCTAGTATCACTGCGTGGAGGAAGAGGGTTCAGGCATATCCAGGCTAACAGCCGAATAACATCGCTGCCCTATGGGAGAGATTATTCAGGGAGTCTCTATTGTGTGGATCCTACTGAAGAGGGCCAGGCCACGTCAAACCGGCTCCGCGGGTTAGCAGCGTTACACTGACAAGTGGAACTAAGGACAGGCCGTTCAGGTCTCTCTGTAGCAAGCAACTTGCTCTGCTCACTTGGCAACATGCGCCTTACTGGCTGCAGCATGTTGAAGGGAAGACGATGAACATCTTCTTGTACGTATATCGAATCCGTTGATTTACACAAATCCGTCTCCTTGAAGAAGAGACCTGATGTATCCCCGTTTCTCTTCTCGAGTTGCCCCCACAAATGTCTACTTTCAGATCCTTACCAAAGCTCAGTTCGAGATTAATGACATTGTGGTGGACTACCATTAGTCTAGGGACCCGGGAGTTCATGAAATGAGTTAACGTTTACGAATACGAGACTGGAAAGCCCATATGTGTGCAATACAGCTTCGCAGTTTATTAAGTCGTACAACGTATAAGAGCAAAGCTACGTCGACGATCACCATATTAACGCCCATTGTACGTCGCATGCACGAGGACGCTGATATTTATGTCAGATATTTGTGATTCTTGTCCAAGTCCTTGTCAATAATCAGAACGATGATTCAGGCTAGGTCGTTCGTGGACAGTCTCCGGCGAGGGTGCACACTGTAGCATGGCGGTATAACCCCAAGGCATCGAATGTATCATTCGTAAGATACGTCGCATTATCGCTGTTATTGAAAACACCGTTTGACCAGGGGTTCATGACAAGGGTGTCGTTGTGTTTACCGAGTACGACGTACAGGAGGAAATATGGATGTACACAAATATTGCCTGCTACTGATGATAACCCAAGCTGTGTACAGATATGGAGTACGCGTACATCCCGAAAAGGGCGTCTTCCGTTCGACGCAAGAACGAGACCAATGCTTCGCTTTGAGAACAAATAGCCAAGATACAAAACTGAGTACGGAGTAAGTGCACGTTGCAAGGTACTTAAATACTTCGCCCCAGACTGTTGTACTTGCAGATGATATGCCAGGCGTTTGAGTGGTGTGACACACACGGCATGCGACACGGCGGCTCTGTACACCGCGTTACAATTTCCTTTATGAGACTTCATGGACACTGTCGGTATGCTCAAAGGGACACGCTCACCGACATGGCCACTCTTGGCCACTCCCCCCCAAATTCAGCTGTCGCAGCGTGGGATAGCGCCTTCCCAGAGCCAAGGACATTGTGTGTTTCTGTGTGTTTCTGTGTGTTCCTTCTCGCAACCCTTGTTCATTCGCTCCTTCCTTTATTTTTGCACACCGTTCTTTCTTTTTTCATGGAATCCTATTGTGCCAGTCTTCCATCGTCTTCTCTCTAGACCTTGAATTAGACACTCAGGTGAGTGTCTTGCTTACCTTGCTCTCCCGGTCCACATTCCATGACTGTCCCTTCCACAGGTACATCGCTCCTTCTTCTCTTTTACCTTTCTTTTGCTGCAATTGCTCTGTCCAGAACGAAACGCTCCAGGCAACATAGGAAACATGCGTAAGGCGTATTCCTTACCAGGTGTTTACTACAATGCGGACGTTGTGTGGAGTCTCGTGTCTTCGCTGATTCCCATTTTAGAACGCGGAGTTTATTTGCAAGGAAAGAAGGTGCGACCCGCCTTTATGTCACTCCTTGCAACACCACACCACCACAACCTCCCACCTCCCGCTCCGGTGATTTTTGTTTTCTCGGAACTCCAAAGTCCAGACAATAACGTTCGGGTCGCACATCGATCATCGGCACGTTCGACTTGTCGCCTCTTTTTACATCATTCATTTCTTGTTGTCATGTTTCCACCTAAAATATCCCCCGAGTCGCGGCGCCTCACGCCCCATCCCTTTTTCGACATCGGCCGTCTCTCAGCACGGCCACTCCCACGCTTCGGTTTCGCTAGCCACGCCTTGCTTAACCTATTCAGGCTGGTCGACAAGCTTGTCAGCTAGGCTTTAGCCTGGCACGCGAGTTTTCTCGGTACGGAGCAGGCACTAAGCCCACGCCAGCCACCGCTCCCTGTACATGGTCTCACACTCACATGGCCAGGCCGACGAGACAGACAAGGGAATGTCCAGGTACTTACGAGGTACGGCGAATAAGACGTCGTTCACGGTCATGAGCGTTCGCCTGCATATGCACGTACGATATGCACGCTGCTCAAAGAGAACACTCACCTCCACGGCGCGGCGCTGTGGATAGAAAACTGTTCACGCAGCCACACACGACAACCCTCAATCCTCCGAAAACAATGCGAGGGCCTGGAAAAGAAAAAGTGGGGGAGACCTGCCCTGTCGCTGCATGCATGAGCAGCACCAAATGCCCAGGATCGCTCAATAGTTTACGTTTTTCTTCCGCTGGAGAGTCACCCTTGTGTCTTGTTTGTTTGCTTCGTCACAGCGGGCTAGACAAGAGCTAGACAACCTGTGCCTAGAGAAAGAAAGGATTGTCGGCGCTGCTCGGCAATGGGGGAAATCTTCTGCCAGCCGTCGAGTACGTCGTACGAAATACATCGTACGTCGTACTCTTGCTCCATACCAAAGGCGGGCATGCATGTGAGCTGCCCCCCCCCCCCTCCCCCCGCCCACTCGGGGTCAACTTGCACTCCAGCCCCGGCCAAGTCCTCGTGGCGCACACAAGGCGGCTGCAAAGGTCGGTTCCATCGCTGTGGGCTCTGTTCTCAACACACTTGAAACAAAGACAAAGACAGGACGATATACGACGTATTTGGAGTCGAACAACGTCCGGTGCATGGGCTCTTGGCTACAGAATGGTCTGGCCCGGGACAGATGTCGGTCAAACCAGTACTCCACTGCCGGCTTGCTCCGCGCCAATTCCCCTCACCCATCTCGAACCCCCTGTTCATCATCACCCGGCAATCCATCAGCTTTCTTTTAGACTTCATTGTACGCAACGCAAATCATCTCCATGCTGGCATGCCCAAGAAAGTCAAACCTGAGGTGGCACGGACGTGATGCGGCTCGGTCCACTACCATTTTTTGTGGGTGAGAGCAGGAGAGGAGGTGCTTGGCATTCGGAAAGACAGACAACACGAGAGGGGAAACAGGAGAGGGGAAGACGATGCACCGGCACTATTTCAGGTCCCGGGCTAACAATGCTTGAAAAGGACAGGACGACAGGACGACAGGACAAGATGTCGCCGTCTCAAGTGGCGCCTCGACGAGCCCGCTCTTCGGGTCGAGCAAGCCCCTGTTACCCGCAGTACTCGTCTCGTGCCTTGGCATCGCTCTACGCTTCCAAAATGTCAAAGGATCCCAGGTGCGTTACACGGCTGGACGGGGCTTGCCCGGCCGTTTCTAAGATTTGCTATTATTTCTTTTTGATATGCCCAAGCTTTCTTTTCTCACTGGCCCGGTCTTTGTACCTTGCCCTTTGACTTTGAACTTGAACTCTTATCCCCAACTGTTTTTCAGCTGCACATCTTTTTCCTCTTTTAAGTTTCTTTTCTTCTGCTCCAGACCTCAGCCTCCACCCAGCACAGAGCATGTTGCCTATTGTTTCTCGCGCGACCCTGCTTGACCATCCTTTTGTCGTACACCATTCCTTGTCTTACCTGCCATGCCGCCAAGACGTCTTCCGGCACCGTCTCCGTTTACTTGAGTCCAGGTTTGAATTCCCTGACACATGGAGATTCCCCCCCCTCCTCTTTTCTAGACTATTAGTCCTCGAATGATACCCTCTTCACTCAAAGCAGACTCGCCAAACTCCTATTGTCAGACAGGTTAGCATCCTGTCTGGGACTAGCTCGTCTGAACAAACATCACCACCAGCGAACATCACCAACGAAGTCATTTTGGCCAGAATATTAAGTATTGTGGCATTCCTGGTCTTGTTTTATTTTCAGCGGTTAATTTTCTTGTCTGCAAAATCGGGCCTGCTTCTTCTTTTCTCATCTCCAGGTTTCGTCAGAGACAATACAGAGTATCCAAGAACACTGCATGCAGGCAGACCCGACAGCTTCCACTACCTTCGGGGGAGAGATCGGTCATATTTGACCATCTTTCTGTCCCGTGTTTCCCCCCTCTTGGTACCTCTTCCCACAAAGTCTTTCCGCTTTCCGCCCCGACGCGATAGGAGCGTCAGCGGCACCAAACACGGCACCAAGAACAAAGACGACGTCTCTTGCAGATATTCACAAAGCGAAGCACAGCTCGCTTACCACACAACCCCAAACATACATGCAGGGTGCTCAGCACAAAAGCGGGAAGTCTATATACTTTTACTCTACGGCGCCTCACCAACGCACAACAACGGCCTCTTGTGCCTGTGGTGACAGCAGTGCGTCAAGTTCCTGCAGCGCCTTGCAGCTTCTGCAGCCAAAACTCAATTTCCCTTCCCGTGTTTGGCCGTCTGTCACTCTCTTACATTCGTTTTGTCCTTCTCAACTGGCCAATTCGCCCTTCCCCCTCCACCGCGGATTCGCAGCTGCACACCCGCTCACCGATTACCCTCACTTGCTTCTGTTGTGGCGCCTACACGGTGAAGAAAAACGGCTACCGTCCAAAGACTGGCAAACAGCTGGGTGGCGTACCATGGTGACAGACGCTTTATTTTTATCTTTATTATTTTGTTGCTCATGCAGCCGCCACCGAAAGCTCCGCCTTCTTGTTTCCTACCCTGCACCATATGTCAATCAACACGTCCGTGTCCCAACACATAGAGCTGCAGTCTATCGCACAGACAAGGACGGATGACACCGAGCCTTCGTTCCCATCCTTTTCTTTCCTTTTTGTCCCCACCCTACGACTCTTTTCCTATAATTTTGTCGGGCTCTTAGGTGCAGCCATCTGCTGCTATCCGACCCTACTCCTCCTTGTTCCTGCTATTTGCCACTCATCGTCACGATTCTGTTTTTTCTTCCTACGAACAGTTGTTTAATGGTTGCGGGTCAGCAAGCCAGTATTGTTTTGAACAAGCGATGTTTCGTTGCATCTAAGGTACACGTTGTACATCGTCGCGCAGCATCTACGCTCTTTGTCAAAGCCCAGCAACAAAGGAAGTGGCTTTTGTTCGAAGCCCGGTGATTTCCTTCGTCTTTACAACAATAAACAACGGGTAATCATATCTCCTACCGGCATCGGCGGCCCCAGTCATCGACATTCATCAAGCTCCCGTTTCAGGCCACCGTCTATTGCGTGCCCCAAAGGCCGTCGTCTTGGAGGTCCTTCCCATCTAGCGCAGAAACGCTGGCTATTGCCGCCAAGCCCTCCCCTTCCCGAGTTCTCATCTGCTGTGATAGCACTCACCACACCATTTCGACCCAGCTCTACTCGGACTCGCGGTTCCACAAAAGAAAAGAAAAACGAAGCGGAGAAGCAAAGGTTCGTCCGCTCTGACCGTGCTTCAGCCACGACAGTACGCACTCGACCATCACGTTCCCGGTCACAGCACCAAGTTCCACAGACGAAGAAGCATGTCTGTTCTTGCCTGCACCTCCTTACAGACACCTCGTTCCGTGCACGAGTTCCAACACTATCAAGTCGACACCCACCCACATCCACATATCGATGCCCTTCACATCCGTTGTCTCTCGGCGAACCACTAGCCGACGTTTTCGTTCCCAAAAATACGCTTCCAGACACACGTACATATTCGCCCCACGGCCGTCTTATTGAGTGGCCTGCAACTCTCTCGGGCAGACGCCCTCGGATCTGCCTTCTCCAACGTGAGGCGTACGGCCGACGGTGTCCTACTGACGTCTCTTGTGTGCATACCGTTGCATGAGTGTAATTTTGAAGCGCTCGTACCGGTACTTGACTGCAATTTCGTGTACTTGCCATAGATGCATATTTTGTGTACACACATACCGTAACGTGCGCATGTGCTTGACAAATATGTACATATGCTGGCACTGATTCGTATGTATCTTCTTTTCTCTTATTATACCTTGCTTCCATTGATGTCGCTTGTTTCGTCCGTTTGACTCTCCTTTTTTAATCTTCGTTTTTTTTTATTCCCCTTTTTCTCATTTTCTTTTCTCCTTCTCACTTGCTTCCATTGCTGTCTTCTTCTGCTGTCTCACGCCCTCCTATTCTCTCATTTACACTGTCACTGCTACCCGCCAACAATGCAGTGTTTTATCCTGTTGTCCCGGCTGCTGTGTCTCGTTTACACAACGCCCATCACTCATTCATCATCCGATCCGTACTTTGATTGTGGTGGTACCATTTTCAATCCTTGCTTTTTATGTGTTGGTTGCTCTTTCCCGGCGCTGTTCCCACCACTTTGGCGAGAAAGGAAAATTGGGTGGTTTGTATTTTGATATTTTGTCGCTTGCTCCTTCCCTGCTATCCGCGACTGCCTCTGTTACACGAGCTGCCTTTAAAATAGGGGGTGACGAGAGTTGGGAAATAGGGCAGGAGTGATAAATGGCAAGAACAAAGCACAAAACAATCGAGGAAGGATCCTCAGCTCGAAGGGAAAGAGCGAGAGAATTCAAAAGGAGTATATGAGGCCCGTTTCTCCCTTTTCTCCCTTCAGTTTTTCGTTCCCATCACTCTTTGCCTAAGATTCACGTCATTGTCCAATTTTCTGACTTGACGTAGCAATCCGCACCCCATCTCAAAGCACAAACGATCAACTTGTCTTGCTTCCATTCAGGCTCGCACGCCCTTCTCTTCATGACACGAATTCACTTTGTCTCGAACCACACAGTCACATCCTCCAAGTGATCCCTCCTCACGCCTTCTTCTGCTCGTAAAACTTCCTTCCATACCTCTTCTGGTCTTGCCTGCTTCCCACACACCGGCAACTAATCCGTCGATACCAAGATAGCTTATCGTTGCCGTCTTTTGTACCTCCTTTGTTTTTTATGTCGTTCAAGCCAACAAGTCGTCTTTTATTCAGTCCAGTTCGTTTCTTGAATCTCTTTTTCCCCCCAAATCCCACGAACTCTTCCTTTGTTCTTGTCTGTGGCAAATTGGTATCCTAACCATACCCCGTCGACAGACTCGCATCCACACGCTACCATGTCTGCCCTGAGCACCGGTCCTGTCGTTGGAGCCACACATGTACTTGCCGTGCCTAATCTTGCGGGAGCTAGCCCTGCCACTCAGAAGACCGACAGCCCCTCTATGCCCAAAGGCTTCCCTGCGAAGCTCGATACCAAACTCGCCTGGTTCGGCAGCGATTTCAAGGTCCCGGAGACCTACATCTACCAGCTCAGCAAGGCCGATCTGGCTGAGATATGCCAGGCCATCTCCTACTTTAAGGGTAAATCATCAACTCATTCGTACCCAGTCATTCGAAAGCGCTCTGCTGCATGATGCATCGCCTAACCCTTACTACGATATAGATCTCGGACTTGACGGCGAGAATGTTTCTCGCAACACTTTCCCGCTTCCTCAGCTGGGTGCCAAGCTGGACGAACTCAGCTTGGAGGTGTACGAAGGCCGCGGCTTCTGTCTTGTACGTGGTGTCAACCCGGCCGACTTTTCGGTCGAGGATTTGACTCTTGCCTACCTCGGTGTTCAAACCTACATCGCCGATCAGCGTGCCCATCAGGACAACAGAGGCAACATGCTAGGTAAGTATCTCTCTTCTCATGCACCAGTTCTTCTGCCCATTGACTAACACCATCAGTCCACATCATTGCGGACAAGTCGTCGAAGACGAGCACGGAACACCATCGACATTCCAACAAGTCAATTGTACGTATCTTGGCAAATGATGGGCGAGCGAGAACACACTGATCGTCTGTAAGTCAATGTGTTAACCTGTAATTTATTCTCCCATAGACCTTCCATACGGAAGAGACCGGCGACGTTGTTAGCTGGTTGACACGCAATACGGCCTCATCTGGCGGACGCTGTATCATTTCGTCGGCGCATACAGTCTACAATGCCCTCGCTGCTGGGCGTCCTGATTTGCTTCGCCTTCTCGCACGGGCCGACTGGCCTTTCGTATTGTGAGCACACCCCTCCCTTCTATTCTTTTCTTTCTTCCCTTTCTTCCCTTTCCTATATTCCCGTTTCCTTGCCTTTGGCGACTAACACATACGTGCTATGTTCTCAGCCCCCACTTCCAATGCAGGCCCATTATTTTCAAACAAGGCCCAAGGGTCATTATGAATTTCGGGCGGACGCCACTCCTTGGAAACAGCATCCATCCCCGCCCGTCACGCTTCCCAAGTGTCACGGCTCGGCAAATCGAGGCCCTTGAAGCTATTGAAGCCATCGCAAAGGCTGCTCAGCTGGAGATCCGTACCCAGCCTGGTGATATGCACTTCATCAACAACCTTGCAGTCTTGCACCGCCGCGAAAGCTTTACGAATGGAGCTGGGGTACTGGAGAAGCGGCATCTCGTCCGCATGCGCCTCCGCAGCTCAAAGCATGGCTGGGCGCTCCCCGCGGAGCTTCAGAGTGAATGGGATGCTAGCTTTGACGAGGACCATCCGCGTGTCTGGCACATTGAGCCAATGCCGGAGTCGTTCTTCCCGCTGCGAAAGTACCCCAACTAATTTTTCTCGTGTCACAATGAATGCAGGGCTACCAAAACGGGGCAAGCCAGTGGTCAGCTGATGGCCACACATGAACATGCTTACACGGGAGGACAACGAAACAAAAGGAGTGACCGCAATGACGAGGCCGTAAAAATTGATCCTGGCGGGTGTAATGACTATTCCTAGCAAAAACTGACGAGATGGCCACAATACCACACAGTATAGTACTCTTGCGCAGCATGATGCAGTCCCGACTGCGGATTTGCTTGAAATCACCTTTAATAAACACTATAAGAACATTATCCTTTTACTCTGATTCTATTTGCGCCTGTTAGTGTTCTTCTGAGTCTGGGCTGTGCTTCGATTTGCAAGCTACTGGGATCGAAGCCAAAAAGCGTAATAAAAGCTACATTGTGCTTTGCTACTCGAGACTGGAGCTGGCAGCAGTTGATTGGACGGCACAAGTGGCATCGGCAACCCGGCTTGGTCACATCCGTGGCGCTGGGCCGGCACACGGCGTCTGTTCCCCATTTGCAGAGGGGCATGTCGATTGTGGGCTTGGAGGATAGTGGCGGTGTCGATGTTGCACCGGGACTATGTGCGTTGTTCTCCTCTTGGCAGGCGAGGATGAAACAGAGGTATCAACATCACGGCCATTCATGGCACGTCTTACAGCACAACACTTATTTCAGTCAGCGAAAATAAGTGGTTTACAAATATCTGTGGCTACTTCCTTTTTTTTTTTTTTTTTTTTTTTCCTTCCTCCGATTTTTTCGTAAATAAAAAATCCGTACAAATGCCACGAAATACGTTTTTGTCTTTTTAAAAATGCAGTGCACGGACCGCTTCCCCGATGATTTGATGATGTGATTCAGTGCCACAAACCGTGCACATGCATGCATTGCACATCTTTTGCCTCTTACACTCGACTGTGTTCCTTTGGCAGCAACTCTCTCCATTTCCTTTCCTCTTCTTTTATCCCCCTTGCCTCTGTATCCCCCACTCCTTGTATTCTGGACTGCCGGCATCGTCACGATGCCATTGTATGCAAACGAACGAGCCTACACCGCTACTCATGACGAGAGATAGAGAGCGAATCCGATGCACAGAGCCGTAAGCGACCCAACAGAACAGCGAAATACGGCGCCTGCTTCTTGTGAGTAGACACAAGCACCGGGCAGCAACAACCATGGAAACTCGGTGGCTTGATAGAAATGCCATCCACCGACTCCTCGTTCTGTTGTTTCCTTCCGTTTCGTTGTTGGTTCCTTGCCTTCACGAACCCACTTCCCGCGACTGCTCAAAGCTGCCCGGGCATTGTCGGCAAGGGCCGTGGTTGGTTGGATGCACCGTGTCTCCTGCACTTCGTGCCCTCCTTGTTTGTCGACTCCCTGCCTCTGCATTGCATGGCTGCATGCATATGCATTTGCATTTGCATTATTTGTTTTCGTATGGCCGCATGCGAAAACATTACCTGAGTCTCCTCTTCACGGCGTTGTTATCGTTCCTTTCTCGTCACGTTCTCGTTTTGTGTCTCGCTTGTCTTTCTCGTCACGCATGCGTTACCTCTCTCGCCACCGGCATTCTCCTCTTTTTCATGTTGGCTTTCCTTGGTATTCCTCTCCTACTTTACCGTCTCGACCGTTTCATGCTTGTTTCGCAGGATATACCTTGTATCGCAGAAGGAAAAGAGAGGGTGGACTTTGCGGCAACGCAAATATAAACGACGGGTAATAATTTTTCATGATCCAGAAGTGAGAAGATACACAAATACAAGGGGACGGAAGAAGCAAAGAAAGACGAGCTCGATTCAGAAGAACGGGGTACACTGCGTGGGCCAAACGAGACCCGGGTTTTGAGACGATTCACTTGAGCGCTCAGAATTGCAATACCATCAAGCAGAACTGGTTCTCAGGCTCGTGTAGATGTCCAAGGTTTCTACATCTGCCAGGCCAACGGCGTAATTGACCGCGTGCCTCCCCGAGGAGTGGCGGACTGCCGCCGTGTTTTGGGCTCTCGACGCCCTCCTTGGACAACAGTCACCGATCGTTGTTCATTGCGTTGTTTTCCGACTTGCAGAGACTGCAACAGGAAGAACGACGACTGCATACCAAGGAGGCGAGAGGACGTCCCTTTGAGCGGTGGTCGCCGCATCATCCCCCGCTGGTATCTTCATGTTCGTGTTCTTACCTCAAGGGTTCAATCACGATCGAGCAGCCGCTGATCACTCACTCATACACAGTTGCCAGGCACTGGTCTGATATACTCACCGATGGCCGACTTCCTCCTCCGTAGCAGTTGCCACGCGACTGTGGCCGGCCACGAACAACATAAGGCGTCCGAGCCCGTCCCATGGATAGACAACTCGGGTCGTCCATCATGTTCCTCATGTGGACTTGGACGAAGTCTCGGGGCGCACTTGCAATGGCAGCTCATTCCCTGTTCGTCTCGTCCGCTTGGACGGCCAGAGCAGCCTGCCAGTCCAACTCGAGTGCATCGGTCCTCCCTTTTGCCAGACGGCTGATGGGACCAAGAATGACGGCAACGAGACAGCACGATAGTCGTGATCTTGGGACAATAGCACTTGCCAGGCACTGCTAAGTGCATTGTCGACTGGCTACCACCACTTGGCAATTGCCTTCTCTGCCAATGTGGCCAAGTCGCTCTTACCTTCACTCCTGCCTTTGTTTTCGATCGAACGATGTCTTTATCGCTGCCCAAACCGGTGGTCACCACTTGGCAATCGTTGTCTCTGTCTGCTGTCGTTCGTTCCTCCCTTCTTGTCTTGCCAGATTGTCGATCGTACGATGCTCTGGTCGTTCCTTCCTCTGCAAACCCAACGGCCACCAAATGGCAGCAAAAGCAACAAGACTCGGCCACAGAAGGAAGCTGCGTCGTCTCCCTGTCTATCTCCGCCCACAACCGTCCACTACACCTGCTGGAGAAATATTCGCCAGCCGCTGTGCCTCTTGTCTTGTTCAGGGAACCGAAGGTCGGGCTCCACTCGATGCACAGGGGCAAAGAGAAGCGGCGAACAGAAAGTGGACAGCAACGGAGTTTGTAATATTGTGTAAAAAAGGCTGACTGGCAAGAAAGGCAAAGAGGCAGGAAAGAACTCTGTGGGCCAAGTTACTGTGTAGGGAAGCTACGACGTACGATGTAAGATAAAAACACGCTACGGAGTCTGTCGTTCAACGTCAAGAACCGAGAGCGGGGCCTGATGTCGATCTTCAAGGGGAAAGAGCCTCTCTGCCTGCTTTCCCCCTTTTTGGGACATTGCCCATCACTTTCCCGTTTCCCTCCTCGCCTCTCTTGCTTCTTGCGGACGTTCTCCATGTCGCATGGCGTTGGCGCGGCGTGGCATTGCAGATATTCCCTGCTCCCCTTTTCTCCTGTGCCGTTGGCACTATCTGACTATTTCCTCTTTCCGATGGACCTCTTTTTCGTCTTCTCACGGCCTTCTCTTGTCTTTCCCAGCCTCCGACCTCCCCTGATGCCTGTCTAGCTTTTTTAGCATGCATTTTGGAATCAATGTCGTCGCCCGCTGTCAATCAAACTGGGAATTGCGACGTGCGGCAGAATGCGACAGTACGACATGCTACTACTGACAGGATAGTTCGATGTATCTCACTTGCCGGCCCCAAGTTGCGGAGTATCTCACGGCAGACAGGTCCGCCAGTCTCTTTCGACATGTTGTCTAGTCGCCCTCCTGCCCAGGAAGCCCACCGTGCCTGCGTCGATTCCTACGATGTACAAAACGGCGCGCCGTCTCTCGTCTCCCGCTCTTCACCGGGTTTCCCTTCTGCCGGCCCTAAATTGGGCCCGGCAGAACGTGTCTTTCCATGGAAACAATGACGGAAGAGACAAGAATTCAAGCAAGGACTCTCGACATGACTGGAAGGGACTCGGGCAAACCAACGGAGAATATCAGCCAGATGAGCGGACAAGATGACACTGCTCAAGACAATTGTCGCAATGGGGCTCGCGGAAAAATAAGCCTGTCTTGTCAAGCCTGCCTTCTGGCAATCGCTCCCTCTTCTGGAGGACTTTCCACATGTCAAAGACCAAGTGAGAATTTTGAGGCCGCGCATCACAATCCTTTTCCCCAGACGGAGGCGGATGTCCCGTATGTCCTGTCTCCGCACTTTGTCGCTACGCTCCTATCCGTATTGGGCTTTTTATGATGCCTTTTTCGACGCTTTTCTCAAAGAGGGAAGTACGAGACTGTTCGCAGAAAAGTGGCTGATGGATTTAACATGTGCCCTGAAGGTCTCCAGCGCCGTTTGCCATGAAAGCAAGGCCGCACGAGAGTCGGCGGTGGTAGTGTATGCAGTACAAATATGTTGTGCTTCCTGCTAGTGCAGGCGGAACGCTGGAGTGCAGGTGTCCGTTGATGGTTGATATGGGGTAAGGCAGTGGAAAAGGATGAAGGAAAGAAAAACAAGGGACACATGGCACAAACAGAAAAGACAGAGTCAGACATGTACAATCATGTGGGCGTGTTTTTCTTCTTTTGTTCTGGCCACAGAAGGGACTCCATCACAAGAATGTTCGGGTCTTGGATGCCGTTTATGCCAAGGCCACGATGCACGAGAATGTCGCCGTTTTGTTGGCGTCTGGCTTGCACAAGGCATTTACGGAGTATTTTGTATGAACCTGTCCCCGGATTTACTTGTTCCTGTTTACGGAAGACAGACGATCGTCGTTTCGCTACGGAGACTCTTTCTGTCAGTGACAACAGATGGAGGAACCCCCGGAGTGCCCAGACGGTCCAGAGGACCCAGAGGCCGTTCTCGCCCTGCTGGGTCCATGCTAGGGAGGCAGCAAGGAAAGAAGGCAGAAAACTGGACTAGCGAGATGATTCTGTGGGGATGTTGAGAGCGAAGAGCGACTGAAAGAGGAGATATTTGGGGCCGAAGAGACAAGCTACAAGTCGGCAATTCAATTTGCTGAATTTGTACGGAGTATAGGGTCATCAGTCAGTCAGTGACAGTTTCGAGTGAGGTCCATGTTGAGTT